CAAAACAGCCCAGCCCAGCCCCAGCCCAGCCCAGCCCCAGCCCAGCCCAGCCCAGCCCAGCCCAGCCCAGCCCAGCCCAGCCCAGCCCAGCCCAGCCCAGCCCAGCCCAGCCCAAATTCAAAACGTGGTTCCAAAAGTCAAAACTCGGTCAAGACTTTCGGTCAAAACTCGGTTAAAACTCGGCCAATTATTGGCACCCAAACCCTTAACAATTTCTATAAACCCTAAACCTTAAATCCTAAACCCTGAACCCTAAACCCGGCCTGGAGAAACTGCAGGGCAGGTCGTTCCTGATGGAGGCCTCGGCCTTTTGCCAAGCGCACAGCTTCGGCCTCGGAGCAGCCCTTTAAGGGCTTTAAAGGAGGGTTTAGGGTTTAGGGTTTAGGTTTTAGGGTTTAGGGGTTTAGGGTTGAGGGTTTAGGGGTTTAGGGGTTTAGGGTTTAGGGTTTAGGGTTTAAGGGTTTTAAGGGGGATTATCCCTAACCCCCCAGGTACCTACTGTATGGGGCCCTAGGGGCTCTAGTACCTTTTGGGGGGCTAGGGTATATTGGGCTGTTTGGGCTTAGGGTTTTGGGTTAAAGGGGCTTATGTCGGGCTATTAGGTTTATTTTTTTTGCTGACGGCCAATTTTCTCCATCTGCTAGATCTCTAACTTCGGGGATCTGCCTTGCAGAAGGCTCTGCACCTGCCCCTTCAGAAGTTGCCTCCATTAAGGTTTATGGCTTTAGGGTTTTAGGGTTTAGGGTTGAGGGGTTTAGGGTTTAGGGCTTAAAGTTTAGGGGTGTAGAGTTTAGGGGATCATCCACATCCTCAGGAACCCTTGTCCCTGACCTCGTCTGACCCTGTTGGCTGGCCCGTCACATTCCCTTGCAAAGGCTCCGCTTGCACCATGCTTAAAGGATCATGGGACTTAGTAAGTAGGCTATAATTCGGGTAACTATACTTACAACCCCAATTAAAGGACTTATAACCGTTTATAACCCTACTTAAAAAGTCCCATGATCCTCCAAGCATGCACACTCCGGCGGGCGGCGCAAGCCCGTGATGGCGCACCAGCGATCCGCGAGAGGTCCCGTCGGACATTGGCACCATGCTGAAGCCACCGCCTTTTCCCGTGGCTTTTCCGCCGCCGCCGATGACTTTAGGATTTAAGGTTTAGGGTTTAGAGGCTTCATATTGGGTTCAAAGGGCTTAAATGGGTAGTTCTTCAAATTGAAGTACCTTTTAGGCGTCTTTTTTTTGTCAAGGTGTCGACTATCTTGGGCACCTAAACACAGACCCGAATTTAGTACCCATATTGGGCTTAAGGTCTAGGGTTTAGCAGGGTTCTTTGTAGGCTTCCTTTTGGGCTTAAGGTGTTGAGGTCAATGCCTTATAGGGTTCACATTGGCTTTTCTTGAGTTTATGGACTTTGCCAAAGATGCAGGACAAAACCTACAACACACATCAACGCACCACGTAGCACTCTACACCATGCAAAACAGCCGCATAAACCGCACAAAAACCCCTGCAACATGCTCCAAGACTCTAGAAATAACGATAGAAGCGCACTCTAAGCCCAAAAGCCTTCGACAGCCCCAAAGACAATCTTAAATTATTAAGAACACGGTTTAGGGTTTAGGGTTGACGGTTTAGGGTTTCGGAAATCCTTGTGTATATATATATATATATATGTGTATAGAAACCCTTACAAACACCTTGAAGAACCTTTAGATAACGCTTCTCAGACTTCTCGGAGAACGGCCCCTTTGAGAATCTTGCTGAGGTGTCGATGGCAGTCACGAGCTCCCAGCCATTTTCGAATAGTCGCAGAGGCACCTTTAGGCGATGAAGGGTTGGTTTAGGGTTTAGGGTTTAGGGTCCTTTCATGCTAGATGCTGGGTATCTACCATAAGCCTGCAAGATCATTGCTATAAGGCTAAGTACTGCAACGCAACGGAGCTTGCACAAAGCACGCAATGCAGTGGCCCAGCAATTCTTGCGGATGATTCAACATGAAGCAGGCGTTTCTGGCCCAGGCACGTGAAAGATGGCTGCGTAGCAAGAGCTCCAACCCCAAGGCTCTATGATGACGTAAGGCCGATGGATTGCATCCTGCATTACCTGAAGGACCTTAAACTACGCTGGATGATATGAATAATGCAATACCCATAATAAGGCAAGTCTCAAACCCTAAACCCTATGAGTTCCTCACCCCCTAAGCCCTAATTAAATCCCGAACCCTAAAACCCTGAACCCTAAACCTGTGCTGCCAGGTTCTTGTCGGCATCTGTCCACGGCACCCTTATAAAAGCGAACAATCTATTGTAGTGGGGCCTTTTGAAACAGAACAGGATGGTTGGGGGCAGCATTCTATGAGCGCTAAGAATCAAAACATGGGAAATAGTCTGAGAGCCTGGTGCCTTCAGAATAAACCCGAGACTTAACCCTCCGTGGAGGATCATGGGACTTAGTAGGTAGGGTTATGAGTGAGATAACGATACTTATAGTTACTTATAACCCCAATTAGGGCACTTGTAACCTTACTTACTAAGTCCCATGATCCTCCAAGCAAGCCCTAACCCCCTAAACCCTAACCCGAAGATGCCATCCTCAATAAGTTTTCATGCTCTCGCTCGCTACTTGCATATAGCGGTCCAGCAGCAAACGCACGAACTCGTCATCACCGCGCCTAGATGCCATTTTCATGGCAATGTGACCGATACCCTTTGGTAAATTCAGGTCGGAACCGCCTTCCACCAGCAAGCGTGCGAGCTCGAGGTGACCTTGCGATAGTGCCTTCCCCAAAGCCGTCTGTCCTTCGATGTCTTGCAAGTTTGTGTCAGAAGAGGCCGCTAGCCTTAGCTGCCCAGTACGCCAGTACGCTGGCCCAAAAAAAATTAAACTTTTCTTTTAGTAGGGGTTTAATATACCAACAAAGTTTAAAGTTTACCTATTGGGCTCCTAAGTAGCAGCACACGCACGGTTTCGGCATCCCCTCGGAAAGATGCCGTCATCAAAGCTGTGGCGCCCTCGTCGTCTCGACAATTCACGTCGGCGCCGGCCTGCAGCAGCTTACGCACGATTTCGATATGACCTGTCATAGATGCGAGCATCAAGGCTGTTTTGCCGTAGCCGCCTGGCAAATTCACGTCGGCAGACGCCTCAAGCAGCACCTGCACGACTTGGACCTGACGTGCCTCAGATGCCATCATTAAAGCTGTGTCGCCGTTGCCGCCGTCGGCGCCGAAATTCACGTCGGAACCCGCCTCAAGCAGCAGTAGCACTACAACCACCTGACCATCATGAGATGCCCAATGCAGAGCTGTGCTGCCGAACTTATCGAGCAAGTCTGGATCTTGTGGCAGCTGCAGCATGGACTGCACCTGAAGCTCAATTCTCGACTTTATCGGCAGGTTTACTCCATTGCAGGGGCCAGATATGTGAAAATTGCCTACGCTGCTAGTATATAGAATAAGTACATGGCCGAATAAATAGATACATAAGCACTTAAGCTCCATCCAAAACCCTGAAATACCAACCCCAAGCCCGGAACGCCACACCTAAAAACCCGAACCCGAACACGACGGTTTAAGGGTTTAAGGTTTACTTAGAGGATCATGGGACTTAGTAAGTGAGGTTATAGGTCCATTAATTGGGGTTATATATAAATATAAGTACCGTTACCTTTATTATAACCCTACTTGCTACGCCCCATGATCCTCTAAGTACTAAGTAGGATCCCTTAGCAACTGGGGTTATGATTAAGGTAACTATACGAATGTTTACTTATAACCCCACTCAAGGGACTTATAACCCAACTACTAAGTCACTAAGTCCCATGATCCTCTAAGTAGGGATCAGACTACGCGCCACCGCCTTGGCCACAGAGCCCTCCCTGGCAGCATCGTTCAAGTCCTCCACCGCTTCTTCAGAAACGTCCGCAAAGGTCAGCCTTAGAAGGGCTTAGGGCTTTAGGGTTTAGGGTTTAGGGTTTAGGGTTTAGGGTTTAGGGTTTAGGGTTGTAGGGTTGAGGGTTTTAGGTTGTTTTTTTGTTTTGGGGGTTTAGGGTTTTGTGTATTAACTAAAGTCTTTGGCTACGGGTTGAAGGTTTATGGGTCAAACCTCGGGAAATTAGGGGGTTCAGGGGTTTATAGGGCATAACAAACCAAAAACGACGATTAACTCAGCTACCAAGCAACAAGACGAGTTCCAGGTCCATCGGGCGGTCCAGCTTCACAGTGTCCTCCAAACTCTCGCCATTCAGAAGAATCCTCTGCCTAAATCGTGGGGGCATGCCATGCAGCTCGATCAACTTCTGCTTCAGGCCTCTCACATCATTAATCTCCTCCACAGGTAGGCTCGCCACAGCTTCCCCAGAGAGCATCTTGATCTGCAGCATCTTTGTCAGGTGGTGAAGCCTGTGAAACCCTAAACGCTGAAATACTGCGAACCAGTGCCACTGGAACCTGCCACGCAGATAGCAATGCTGTAACAAGAAGAAAAATAATCACAAAAAACAACAATAATGCTAATGTTAGTAGTGATAGCGAAAATAACAAACAATATGTGTGTTTATTATTTATTATTTCTATTTGTTATCATTCGGATTGCACAACATACCAACACGAGGATCCTTGCTTGAAGTCTGGAAACGCTGCGATACGAAAAGGATCTGGGTTCCTGGTTTATGGTTGCAACCCTAAACCCCTAAATATCTTAAACCCTAAACCGAAACTCTTAAAACATCCTAAGCCCTAAACCCTAAACCCCAAACCCTAAACATCCTAAACCCTAAACCCCTAAACGGTATCAGCCCAAACTTATAGAAGCCGAAGGTCTGGAATGTCATGGAAGGTTGGAAAGCAACTCTAAACCCTAAACCTTAAACCCTAAACCCTAAACCCCAGGGTCTAAAGCATTTTCTAGCTGCTGGCCAGCTGCCCCCATCCAGTAACAGTGTATAGTAGGAACGCTCTCAAAAGGCCTTATATATGGAATACATACATATATATATATATAGTGTATATATACCTGTACATATTAAGAATCTTTTTCAGCTGCTACTGACTAGGGGCAGAATCCAAGTTATAAGGGTCGTTCCCCAAACTGAGGAAAACTACACAAGGGTTAGGATCGAATATCTCATATCCCGGGATAGCTTCCTCGAGATGGCTGCTAAATGGGGAGGTCGGTACAAAGGCCCTGTATAATGCAGGTAGACCGGTGACGAAACTGAGATTCGGTTTTACGGCTGGGGGCTTAAAGGATTTACCCTCGCCAGAGATCCTAATCGAAAGGTAGAGCATCCTCTTCTAGACGCAAAGCTCTGCAACAGGCAGCTTCCCTCGACACGGCGCAATGAAACCCTGAGCCGTAAGCGACAACAAACATCATGGTTTAGGGCTTAGGGCTTCAGGGTTTAGAGGCTTTTTTTAAGGGTTGAGGGTTTAGTGTTTAGGGGTTTAGGGTTTGGGGTCCATGGAACTCTGAAAGCCCGTCACAAGCTGCGTACAAGCCCATCAAAGACATTATCAGCCTCCCTAAGGGTCCAAGTAGTCCTTATTTATGGTTTTAAGTACCCCAAAAAAGCCCCAAAGTCTTTAAATCATGGGTGCTTAAAGGATCATGGGACTTAGTAAGTGGGGTTATAGCTCAGGTAACTATACTTATAACCCCAATTAGGGGACTTATAACCTCCAAGTACTTGGACCCTGAGGGCCTCGGAGGTCCCAAAGCCCACGTCCAAGATCTCGGGGCTCATGTCCGGGCCAGGCAGCCTGAGCAACAGAGTCTAAGGGCTTTAGGAGGGACCCTTAATAGGGACCCTTGTAGGTGATTGGGATTAATATGGAGACTACCTGGCTATACAGGGGGCATAGAAGGACTATACAATGGTTATTTAAGGTAATGGGATTAAGGGTCCCTATTAGAGGTCCCTCCTAAAGTCCTTAGACAGAGGAGAAACTCGCCCACTTATCAGGCTATGGGGCTTAGGGCCTCGGGTTTAGGGTTTCGGGCTTAGGACTTAGGGTTTGGGGCTTAGGGTTTAGGTTCAGAGTGAAGGGTGTAGGGTTTAGGGTTCAGGCTTGAGGGCTCAAGGTCAACACAGGGTGTGATTTTCTGGGTTCCGGAATGTAGGGCTTGAGGTTGAAAGAGACATTCATGTGGGAGATAATTAAAGTTACCCCGAAGCCCTAAACCGCTCAAGCCTAAACCATAAACCCTAAACCCCGAAACCCTATACCCTGTACCCTAAACCCCGAAACACTATACCCTAAAACCCTAGACCCCGAAACCCTATACAATAAACCCTAAACTCCGATGCCTTTAGGGGGAGTCTGGGGAGATGCACTCTTTGAGCTGTACCGTCTCTCCCGACCGAAACAATATCAAGACCGTCCAATGTACCTTAATTGAACAAGCTGCCTAAAATTATCGTAGGACCCATGATTCAAGGTATATTCCTTACTTTCGGGCGGTTTTTTTTTGGAAGATCTGGGAATATCAAGCTGGGCAATTGCAGGTTCATGGGTAATCTAAGCCTGGATCGGCTTACAAGTAAGCGCAGCTTGTTTCCTGGGGTCACGGGTTTCGAGTCCAGGGTCAAGGACCGTGCTGCGGGCACTCCGTGCCACTCTATGCCCGACGCTCTTTTGCCACCATCGCTGTTCAACCGTGAATCGGGGGTACACCTAAACACTCAGATCTAAACCTTCATTCAAGCTGAACTCCAAACCGTAACCCAAGCCCTGACCGTAACCCAAGCCCTAAACCCTCAAACTCTAGACACCTAAACGCAACACTTCACCAAGTAGGGGGTATCCCGTACCTCTGAAGCCGTAGACTAAACGCCCAACACGAGCCGTTCCCATCTTAGGGTGCCGGGCATCAAGGCGAGGACGGGATGAAGCCTCCACGCGATATGGGTAGTTTTCTGGGTTTAGGGTTTAGGGTTTAGGGTTTAGGGTTTAGGGTTTATGAAGTAAGGGTCCCTTTTGGGGGTCCTTTTTATAAGGGTGACGTACCATATTGGGGACCTAAAGAGGGACCCGAATTTAGAGAACTACCCATATGGGGTTGATGGTCCGGGCGCTTCAGGACTGACCCTACTTAAATGATCATGGGACTTAGTAAGTAGGTTATAACTAAGGTAACATTCGGGGACTCTTAACCCTACTTACTCAGTCCCCTGATCCTCCGAGGAGGGGTCCTTAACCCTAAGGGTTTTCTAAGGGTTTCTTTATTGAAACTATAATATACTTCCCCGGAAAGATGGCCCTAAACTCCTAAACCAAAGATTCGCAAATCTGAGCCCGAAAGGCACTGTCAGCTAGTGCTTGACCTTTGAAGCAAGGGTTTATGAGGTTTCCTAGCTGGTCATGTCAACTCGAAAAGCAAACCTGAAACAGAAGCCTAGATTCAAGCGTACTTAATCTACCAGAGCCTACTTTGCTTGTAGGCCTCAGACAGGAAACCCCATGAGATGCTGACGGGCTAGGCTAATACGATTAAGACCGTTCCCTTTTGGGCAGTAGGGTATACCTGCAGTCTCCATTGTAATATTTTCTGAGTTACCTTATGGGCTCCTAACTATCAAATGAACCTAGGAAAGGAACTGCAATGGAGACACTAAGCCCTAAACCCCCCCCTAAAACCCTAAACCCTAAAACCCCAAAGACTGTAGGTACTGCACAGTATAGGGTCAAGGGCCTACGTCCTAAAGACCATATTAACGGACGCTAGAGCAGACAGCCCCACCTGGCATAGGGCACATACCAATCGAAGAAAGCCGCGCCTGCATGCTGTTGTGATTGTTGTTATATATATATATATACATATATATATATATATAAATATATATGTATATTAACTGCTGATTTGTGTATTTGAGCATTCATTTATTTGTTCATGGCTTCTCACTACTAGTACTATTGCTATTCTTTTACTACGGTGCTAGATAATATGATGAAAAGTTGGTCTTAGTGTTTTTGTTTATGACGAGCCGTATGCCCTTGTAGCCCCGATCTACAACTTCGGATTTCCGTTCTCGGGCCGGGCGTGAACTAAGCAACTCTCGAAATCCCTTTCCCAAACAAAGAGGAATCCTTAATCAAAGGGATCTTGCTCGCAATTCAGACACCCCGAATTGGAACCCAAGCAGAAGCAGAACTCAAATCCCGAGAGCGCTGTACTGCAAGGGGTCTCTCTTCGGACCCTCCAAACGGTTGCACGGATTATCACCACGAAGGACTGGAGAAGCCGTCTCGAACAGCACTATGGCCTATAACGAACCTGGCTCAGAGAAAACCCTCAGGGTCCATAAACTGATGAGGCTTCCTCAAAAAAGGATTCCCTTTCAGGTTCTATAAAGTTTTGTATAAGGGTTGTTATGAAGGTTACTATAATGGTGTGCTCCTGTAGTACATACGTTGACGTTAATCAAAGTAGTACCTATAAAGGTACTTTACGGCTAACTGAATGGTTTTTGGACTTTGAAATCCTACTATTTTGGCACTTGGACCCTTATGGGTATTGTCTGAGCCTCGCAGACCTTGAGCATTCAATTGCACAGGTGGGTACTTAGAGGATCATGGGACTAAGTAAGTAGGGTTATAACTAAGGTATCTATACGTATATTTACTTATAACCCCAATTACGGGACTTATAACCTTATTTACTAAGTCCCATCATCCAACAACTACACAATCCCCCTTGCCGGGTGCCGTGCCAGCACGCGCATGGCGTGCGTCCCAGTACACGGCCTCGGAAAAGGCTTGAGGATCTCCGGCTGGCTTCTTCAATGGCTTTTGCTCGATGTTTCATGGCTACTTCTAAACTTTCTTCATGAAAGATACATGTAATATTCAAACACAACCTGTGCCCTTACACATTCATTTGTCATACTCTGGGTTGCGGCAGTTGCGCATCTAACCTTTGCCTGGACAGGCGGCTGCGCCCGCAATCAAACTTTCAGCCGCTACTTAAAGGATCATGGGACTTAGTGAATAAGGTTATAACTAAGGTAACTATACTTATATTTAAGTACAACCCCAATTAAGGGACTTACAACCTTACTTACTAAGTCCCATGATCCTCCAAGTACCCAGCAGATCCAAGTTTCAGAAAGTCCACCCATGCCGCCTCCTGGGCTTTGCGCCCTCCGTTCTTCGGGCAGCTGGCGCTTGGCTGCACCAAGTTGGCTCGTCTGCTTGTGCAGGGTCGTACTTAAATGGTCATGGGACTTGGTAAGTAGGGTTATAATTAGGGTAACTATACTTATAACCCAATTAGGAGACTTATAACCTTACTTACTAAGTCCCATGATCCTTTAAGTAGTGAGCCGTTTGCCACTGTCCATGTCCACCTTGGACAGAGCCTCTGCAACAGCAGGCGGCATTG